TACCACCATGGTCCATGGTTGTGTGGTGGTCTGTGGTCCTCCAGCGTGTTGTACCACCATGGTCCATGGCTGTGTGGTGGTCTGTGGTCCCCCAGCGTGTTGTACCACCATGGTCCATGGTTGTGTGGCGGTCTGTGGTCCCCCAGCGTGTTGTACCACCATGGTCCATGGTTGTGTGGTGGTCTGTGGTCCCCAGCGTGTTGTACCACCATGGTCCATGGTTGTGTGGTGGTCTGTGGTCCTCCAGCGTGTTGTACCACCATGGTCCATGGTTGTGTGGCGGTCTGTGGTCCTCCAGCGTGTTGTACCACCATGGTCCATGGTTGTGTGGCGGTCTGTGGTCCTCCAGCGTGTTGTACCACCATGGTCCATGGTTGTGTGGTGGTCTGTGGTCCCCAGCGTGTTGTACCACCATGGTCCATGGTTGTGTGGTGGTCTGTGGTCCCCAGCGTGTTGTACCACCATGGTCCATGGTTGTGTGGTGGTCTGTGGTCCCCAGCGTGTTGTACCACCATGGTTCAGCTTAGGGAAGAGAAGGGCAAGTTGCAGTTGTTTTCAGATTTAGAATATAGTTTACAAACATTAATTAAATCGATAAATATTGCGAAGCAGCGATCTAGTGCTTCACAACAGTAAACATTAGTGTGTGTGTGTGTGTGTGTGTGCTTCTTCCTGGGTTACGGGCTCACCATAGCCCGTGCTACATGGACACTTCGTTCTGAGTAGCTAAATCAGAAACAACAACATTCTTCCTGGGATTAGCTCTGATATATCACTATTTACTACATTTTCCCATTTCAGGTGACGTAGATTGAGTGCAAGACATCATATATGGAAAGTGTGACGGAGTTTGTTAGTTGTGGTAATTGTTTTGCACCTGAGGTCACTCCTTGTTGCCTCCTCGTTACCATCGTCTGGCGAGACAGTCAGGGAGTTCACAGTTCCCTCGTTAGTAGGTTCTTCAGGGTGTGCTGTGTCTCAGGTGTGCTGTGTCTCATGTGTGTTGTGTCTCACGTGTGCTGTCTCATGTGTGTTGTGTCTCACGTGTGCTGTGTCTCATGTGTGTTGTGTCTCACGTGTGTTGTGTCTCATGTGTGTTGTGTCTCACGTGTGCTGTGTCTCATGTGTGTTGTGTCTCACGTGTGCTGTGTCTCATGTGTGTTGTGTCTCACGTGTGCTGTGTCTCAGGTGTGCTGTGTCTCATGTGTGCTGTGTCTCAGGTGTGCTGTGTCTCATGTGTGTTGTGTCTCACGTGTGCTGTGTCTCATGTGTGTTGTGTCTCACGTGTGCTGTGTCTCATGTGTGCTCTCCAGTCGTCTGCGTGTCTCCCGTGTGGGCCTCGCCTCCGGGAAATCATTTTCTTGGAACTCTTGTAAATCTTTCCTCGGCCTTGACGCTCTCTCGTAAACACTTTGAAACTTTACAACTTTTTCCAGCTGTCACACTGCTCTCCCAGCTGTCACACTGCTCTCCCAGCTGCTACTCTGATTTCCAAGCTGTCACACTGCTCTCCCACCAGCGACTCTCCATCTCATTACTACTACCTTCTCATTAATTTGCCTCCCACTACTCACCTATCCCCCTCCCTCCCCCCATTCTTATTCCCTCCCATCCTGATACCCCCGTCCACCGTCCCTCGTCCCCTACCCCCTATCCTTGCTGGCACTGCCCCCCCCTCCCCCTCACTGTCCTCTGAGGTATAGGACACTTACCTATCCTCCCTGCTACAAGGTATGAGGTACTTCCCTCCCTCCCTCCCTGCTACAAGGTATGAGGTACTTCCCTCCCTCCCTCCCTGCTACAAGGTATGAGGTACTTCCCTCCCTCCCTCCCTGCTACAAGGTATGAGGTACTTCCCTCCCTCCCTCCCTGCTACAAGGTATGAGGTACTTCCCTCCCTCCCTCCCTGCTACAAGGTATGAGGTACTTCCCTCCCTCCCTCCCTGCTACAAGGTATGAGGTACTTCCCTCCCTCCCTCCCTGCTACAAGGTATGAGGTACTTCCCTCCCTCCCTCCCTGCTACAAGGTATGAGGTACTTCCCTCCCTCCCTCCCTGCTACAAGGTATGAGGTACTTCCCTCCCTCCCTGCTACAAGGTATGAGGTACTTCCTCTCCTCCCTGCTACAAGGTATGAGGTACGTCCTCTCCTCCCTGCTACAAGGTATGAGGTACTTCCTCTCCTCCCTGCTACAAGGTATGAGGTACTTCCTCTCCTCCCTGCTACAAGGTATGAGGTACTTCCCTCCCTCCCTCCCTGCTACAAGGTATGAGGTACTTCCCTACCCTCCCTCCCTGCTACAAGGTATGAGGTACTTCCCTCCCTCCCTCCCTGCTACAAGGTATGAGGTACTTCCTCTCCTCCCTGCTACAAGGTATGAGGTACTTCCCTCCCTCCCTGCTACAAGGTATGAGGTACTTCCCTCCCTCCCTGCTACAAGGTATGAGGTACTTCCTCTCCTCCCTGCTACAAGGTATGAGGTACTTCCTCTCCTCCCTGCTACAAGGTATGAGGTACTTCCCTCCCTCCCTGCTACAAGGTATGAGGTACTTCCCTCCCTCCCTGCTACAAGGTATGAGGTACTTCCCTCCCTCCCTGCTACAAGGTATGAGGCACTTACCTATCCTCCCTGCTACAAGGTATGAGGCACTTCCCTCCCTCCCTGCTACAAGGTATGAGGTACTTCCCTCCCTCCCTGCTACAAGGTATGAGGTACTTCCTCTCCTCCCTGCTACAAGGTATGAGGTACTTCCCTCCCTCCCCCTGCTACAAGGTATGAGGTACTTCCCTCCCTCCCTGCTACAAGGTATGAGGTACTTCCCTCCCTCCCTGCTACAAGGTATGAGGCACTTACCTATCCTCCCTGCTACAAGGTATGAGGCACTTCCCTCCCTCCCTGCTACAAGGTATGAGGTACTTCCCTCCCTCCCTGCTACAAGGTATGAGGTACTTCCCTCCCTCCCTGCTACAAGGTATGAGGTACTTCCCTCCCTCCCTGCTACAAGGTATGAGGTACTTCCCTCCCTCCCTGCTACAAGGTATGAGGCACTTCCCTCCCTCCCTGCTACAAGGTATGAGGTACTTCCCTCCCTCCCTGGTGAGGCACTTCCCTCCCTCCCTGCTACAAGGTATGAGGTACTTCCCTCCCTCCCTGCTACAAGGTATGAGGTACTTCCCTCCCTCCCTGCTACAAGGTATGAGGCACTTCCCTCCCTCCCTGCTACAAGGTATGAGGTACTTCCCTCCCTCCCTGCTACTTACCCTCCCTCCCTGCTACAAGGTATGAGGTACTTCCCTCCCTCCCTGCTACAAGGTATGAGGTACTCCCTCCCTGCTACAAGGTATGAGGTACTTCCCTCCCTGCTACAAGGTATGAGGTACTTCCCTCTCTCCCTGCTACAAGGTATGAGGTACTTCCCTCCCTCCCTGCTACAAGGTATGAGGTACTTCCCTCCCTCCCTGCTACAAGGTATGAGGTACTTCCCTCCCTCCCTGCTACAAGGTATGAGGTACTTCCCTCCCTCCCTGCTACAAGGTATGAGGTACTTCCCTCCCTCCCTGCTACAAGGTATGAGGCACTTCCCTCCCTCCCTGCTACAAGGTATGAGGTACTTCCCTCTCTCCCTGCTACAAGGTATGAGGCACTTCCCTCCCTCCCTGCTACAAGGTATGAGGTACTTCCCTCCCTCCCTGCTACAAGGTATGAGGTACTTCCTCTCCTCCCTGCTACAAGGTATGAGGTACTTCCTCTCCTTCACTTTCTCTTGCTGGCATTCAAGATGGGAGGAAGTTGCCTCTCCTTGTACCAGGTTCCAGGATCTTCACCCATGGTGTGAAGATGGTAGTGGGAGGGAGGAAGGTTAGCGAGATGGAGGGAGGGGAGAGTGTGGGAGGGAGGAGGGTAGTGGGAGGGAGGGCTGATCACCACTGGTCATCACCACCATTCCAATAATTCCATGACTAATCCCGAGCAAGTTTCCGGAGTATAACCAACTCTACCACCAGCTGCCGTAGTTACAAGAGTATAACCAAGTTCGCCAGCGACTATCCAGAGAATCTATCGAAACTGATGCTCCTACAGGAGGGGACACACAGAGAAATCTGTGCCCTGTACTTGCAACCGTTCCGACAGGCTCGAACGCAGGTCTTTTCTCAATCAATCTTCGGCTATCCAGAGAATCTATCGAAACTGATGCATAAACATAGAGGTAGTGGTAACACTTGGTTATACAGGAGTATAACCAAGTTCGCCAGAGTTCGTAGTTCCAACCAGGCCTCCGGCTGGTCAACTGGTGGATCATATTCCTTTGATATCGCTCTCCTGATGCGTTTTTGTTCTCATACTGACATCCTTACGGGCTCACCATAGCCCGTGCTACATGAACATTTCGTTCTGAGTAGCTAAATCTAAAATAACATTGACATCCTCAGTGGTGTTTAGCACCCTCTGAACAGCAGCACTGATGGTGTTATATACTTAGTCTCGCCGGCTCGGCGCCTTCTTTTGAGAATTACTTCCTTCGTCCCCAATCTTGGCAACTTTGTTTACATTTAATAAATTATTTATGTGCTCCGAATCACTATGGGAAATGGGGATGAAGTTTCCAAGCTGGTAAACTGTTTACTAAGCGTAAACAAAGCCGCCAAAGCATTGATTAATAGGATTGTAAGCTGTATGAGAGCCGTTTAAGTGATGCTCGGTTAAATCATTACTTCTTCAGATTGAAGCAGGCCAAAATGCTAAGACACGTACTCGCCTGGCGTTTCGCGAGCGCTTTGATCTGGGTTCGTATCCAGGCCTGGGGAGGATTGACTGGGCGCCAATCCTTAACTGTAGCCTCTGTTCACCTAGCAGTGAATGGGTACCTGGTTGTTAAACGATTTGGCGGGTCGTATTCCAGGGAAAATATATGATTAATTACCTGTCCGGAACGCGACGCGTACTAGTGGCTGTACAACAATGTAAGAACTATTGTATATATAAATAAATCAATAAAAATCTAAATAAAGGAGTCTATATAATAGTGGCGACAGTTTCGATCACCATATATATGGGACGGGTGTTGACCATGGGACGGGTGCTGACCATGGGACGGGTGTTGACCATGGGACGGGTGTTGAGCATGGGACGGTTGTTGAGCATGGGACGGGTGCTGACCATGGGACGGTTGTTGACCATGGGACGGGTGTTGACCATGGGACGGGTGTTGACCATGGGACGGGTGTTGACCATGGGACGGGTGTTGACCATGGGACGGGTGTTGAGCATGGGACGGTTTGTTGAGCATGGGACGGGTGCTGACCATGGGACGGTTGTTGACCATGGGACGGGTGTTGACCATGGGACGGGTGTTGACCATGGGACGGGTGTTGACCATGGGACGGGTGTTGACCATGGGACGGGTGTTGACCATGGGACGGGTGTTGAGCATGGGACGGGTGTTGAGCATGGGACGGGTGTTGACCATGGGACGGGTGTTGAGCATGGGACGGGTGTTGACCATGGGACGGGTGTTGACCATGGGACGGGTGTTGAGCATGGGACGGGTGCTGACCATGGGACGGTTGTTGACCATGGGACGGTTGTTGACCATGGGACGGTTGTTGAGCATGGGACGGGTGCTGACCATGGGACGGTTGTTGACCATGGGACGGTTGTTGACCATGGGACGGTTGTTGAGCATGGGACGGGTGCTGACCATGGGACGGTTGTTGACCATGGGACGGGTGTTGACCATGGGACGGGTGTTGACCATGGGACGGGTGTTGACCATGGGACGGGTGTTGAGCATGGGATGGGTGTTGAGCATGGGACGGGTGTTGACCATGGGACGGGTGTTGAGCATGGGACGGGTGCTGACCATGGGACGGGTGTTGACCATGGGACGGGTGTTGAGCATGGGACGGGTGCTGACCATGGGACGGTTGTTGACCATGGGACGGGTGTTGACCATGGGACGGTTGTTGAGCATGGGACGGGTGCTGACCATGGGACGGTTGTTGACCATGGGACGGTTGTTGACCATGGGACGGGTGCTGACCATGGGACGGGTGTTGACCATGGGACGGGTGCTGACCACGGGACGGGTGTTGAGCATGGGACGGTTGTTGACCATGGGACGGGTGCTGACCATGGGACGGGTGTTGAGCATGGGACGGTTGTTGACCATGGGACGGGTGCTGACCATGGGACGGGTGTTGACCATGGGACGGTTGTTGACCATGGGACGGGTGCTGACCATGGGACGGGTGTTGACCATGGGACGGGTGCTGACCACGGGACGGGTGTTGAGCATGGGACGGGTGCTGACCATGGGACGGGTGTTGACCATGGGACGGTTGTTGACCATGGGACGGGTGCTGACCATGGGACGGGTGTTGACCATGGGACGGGTGTTGACCATGGGACGGGTGCTGACCATGGGACGGGTGTTGACCATGGGACGGTTGTTGACCATGGGACGGGTGCTGACCATGGGACGGGTGTTGACCATGGGACGGGTGCTGACCACGGGACGGGTGTTGAGCATGGGACGGGTGTTGAGCATGGGACGGTTGTTGACCATGGGACGGTTGTTGACCATGGGACGGGTGCTGACCATGGGACGGGTGTTGACCATGGGACGGGTGCTGACCACGGGACGGGTGTTGAGCATGGGACGGGTGTTGACCATGGGACGGGTGCTGACCACGGGACGGGTGTTGAGCATGGGACGGGTGTTGACCATGGGACGGGTGTTGACCATGGGACGGGTGCTGACCATGGGACGGGTGTTGACCATGGGACGGTTGTTGACCATGGGACGGGTGCTGACCATGGGACGGTGTTGACCATGGGACGGGTGCTGACCATGGGACGGTTGTTGACCATGGGACGGTTGTTGACCATGGGACGGGTGCTGACCATGGGACGGGTGTTGACCATGGGACGGGTGCTGACCACGGGACGGGTGTTGAGCATGGGACGGTTGTTGATCATGGGACGGGTGCTGACCATGGGACGGGTGTTGAGCATGGGACGGTTGTTGACCATGGGACGGGTGCTGACCATGGGACGGGTGTTGACCATGGGACGGTTGTTGACCATGGGACGGTGCTGACCATGGGACGGGTGTTGACCATGGGACGGGTGCTGACCACGGGACGGGTGTTGAGCATGGGACGGGTGCTGACCATGGGACGGGTGTTGACCATGGGACGGTTGTTGACCATGGGACGGGTGCTGACCATGGGACGGGTGTTGACCATGGGACGGGTGCTGACCATGGGACGGGTGTTGACCATGGGACGGGTGCTGACCACGGGACGGGTGTTGGACGGGTGTTGACCAAGACGGGTGTTGACCATGGGACGGGTGTTGACCATGGGACGGGTGTTGACCATGGGACGGGTGTTGAGCATGGGACGGGTGTTGACCATGGGACGGGTGTTGACCCAGACGGGTGTTGACCATGGGACGGGTGTTGACCATGGGACGGGTGTTGACCATGGGACGGGTGTTGACCATGGGACGGGTGCTGACCATGGGACGGGTGTTGACCATGGGACGGGTGTTGACCATGGGACGGGTGTTGACCATGGGACGGGTGTTGACCATGGGACGGTTGTTGACCATGGGACGGGTGTTGACCATGGGACGGGTGTTGAGCATGGGACGGGTGTTGACCATGGGACGGGTGCTGACCATGGGACGGGTGTTGACCAAGACGGGTGTTGAGCATGGGACGGTTGTTGACCATGGGACGGGTGTTGACCATAGGACGGGTGTTGACCATGGGACAGGTGTTGAGCATGGGACGGGTGTTGACCAAGACGGGTGTTGACCATGGGACGGGTGTTGACCAAGACGGGTGTTGACCATGGGACGGGTGTTGACCAAGACGGGTGTTGACCATGGGACGGGTGTTGACCATGGGACGGGTGTTGAGCATGGGACGGGTGTTGAGCATGGGACGGGTGTTGACCAAGACGGGTGTTGACCATGGGACGGGTGTTGAGCATGGGACAGGTGTTGAGCATGGGACGGGTGTTGACCATGGGACGGGTGTTGACCATGGGACGGGTGTTGACCAAGACGGGTGCTGACCATGGGACGGGTGTTGACCATGGGACGGGTGTTGACCAAGACGGGTGTTGACCATGGGACGGGTGTTGACCATGGGACAGGTGTTGAGCATGGGACGGGTGTTGACCATGGGACAGGTGTTGAGCATGGGACGGGTGTTGACCAAGACGGGTGTTGACCAAGACGGGTGTTGACCATGGGACGGGTGTTGACTGCGGTGAGTGACGGAACATGTGACAAACTGTTTGTATCAGTGACTCCTATATAAACATTTACAAACTTTAGACACACACACACACATATATATATATATATATATATATATATATATATATATATATATATATATATATATATATATATATATATATATATATATATATATATATATACTTTAGACTTGTATATATAAGAATTTACAAACTTTAGACTCGTATTTGCGTTTAGAAGAAATGAAGGGAGAATGATTATAATTGAATTTAAGGGAGAAGGAAGAGAATTGGGATGGAGGGAGGAGTCACACTACGTACGGATAGGCGTAGTGTGATGGAATAGAGAGAACAGCTAGATGGAGAGGGGGTTAGAACAGCTAGATGGAGAGGGGGTTAGAACAGCTAGATGGAGAGGGGGTTAGAACAGCTAGAATGAGGAAGAATGTATAGATGGCACTAGGAGACCAGCTAGAATGGATAGATGGCACTAGGAGACCAGCTAGAATGGATAGATGGCACTAGGAGACCAGCTAGAATGGATAGATGGCACTAGGAGACCAGCTAGAATGGATAGATGGCACTAGGAGACCAGCTAGAATGGATAGATGGCACTAGGAGACCAGCTAGAATGGATAGATGGCACTAGGAGACCAGCTAGAATGGATAGATGGCACTAGGAGACCAGCTAGAATGGATAGATGGCACTAGGAGACCAGCTAGAATGGATAGATGGCACTAGGATACCAGCTAGAATGGATAGATGGCACTAGGAGACCAGCTAGAATGGATAGATGGCACTAGGAGACCAGCTAGAATGGATAGATGGCACTAGGAGACCAGCTAGAATGGATAGATGGCACTAGGAGACCAGCTAGAATGGATAGATGGCACTAAGAGACCAGCTAGAATGGATAGATGGCACTAGGAGACCAGCTAGAATGGATAGATGGCACTAGGAGACCAGCTAGAATGGATAGATGGCACTAGGAGACCAGCTAGAATGGATAGATGGCACTAGGAGACCAGCTAGAATGGATAGATGGCACTAGGAGACCAGCTAGAATGGATAGATGGCACTAGGAGACCAGCTAGAATGGATAGATGGCACTAGGAGACCAGCTAGAATGGGTAGATGGCACTAGGAGACCAGCTAGAATGGATAGATGGCACTAGGAGACCAGCTACAAGAATAGAAAGATGGTCGGTCGGAGGGGGTGTAGGTGTGTGATGCATGGAGCCGTCAGTTGAGCAGTGACCGTCGTGGAGGGTGCACGTCGCGCTCCGCCTCTCTCCCTCTCTCCCCTGCTGAGCACAACACATAACCTCTCTACAACATCGGTCGCCTGCATCGCTCTATAGCCAGGCCGCTAACGTAAGTTATCATTTAGGTAACGGTTTGTAGTTACTACTCGTAACTACTACACTGCTTTACTTACTTTACTACTCTACTCTTTCTGTTACAGTTGATGATTTCTGTTGTTCTCTCCTGTTTTAATTGATGATTTCTGTTGTTCTCTTCCTTCTGTTATAATTGATGATTTCTGTTGTTCTCTTCCTTCTGTTACAATTAATGATTTCTGTTGTTCTTTTCTGTTACAATTAATGATTTCTGTTCCTTTTTCGTGTTACCGTTAATATGGTCTGTTGCTCCTGTTGTGTTGTGTCCTGTTGTCGGGGTAAAACAGGTCGCCTGTTAAGGGGTCATGGAGGTGCCCCCCCCCCTCCCCCCTTCACAACAGTGCCGTCCTAACTCCCGGATGCCTATTTTAGTGCTAGGTGGACAGAGGCATCAGGTGTAAGGGGAAAACGCTTTGCCCCAAACGTCTCGGACGCCCTGCCCGGGGGGATTCGAACCCGGGTCCATTCGGTTGTGAGTCGATTGCTTCTAACGACTAAGAGCTACAAGTGTTTCTAATAATGTAAAAGATATCTGTCTCTATATATTATATAATAATTATGTATGGTAATGTGACTATTAATGATATCGCGTTACGAAGCGTTAACAGTTGGCCGTTACCTCGACCGTTATGGCTCTGTTAACAGGTGTCTGTTGTTGTCATGAGGTGGCTGGCGTTACTGTTAACTTGTAGTCGCCATTTGGCTATCTGGTTATTTCCGCGAGGTGGTGTTCCTGTGTTGGGGGGGGGGGGTACTGGGGTGGTGGTAGTGGGTGGAGCAGGCGGCATTGTGGTAGAGTACTGGTGGTAGTGGTGGTGGTGGTGGTGGTGGTGGTGGTGGTGGTAGTGGTGGTGGTGGTAGTGGTGGTGGTGGTGGTGGGTGGAGCAGGCGGTATTGTGGTAGAGTACTGGTGGTAGTGGTGGTGGTGGTAGTGGTGGTGGTAGTGGTGGTGGTGGTAGTGGTGGTGGTGGTAGTGGTGGTGGTGGTGGTGGGTGGAGCAGGCGGTATTGTGGTAGAGTACTGGTGGTAGTGGTGGTGGTGGTAGTGGTGGTGGTAGTGGTGGTGGTAGTGGTGGTGGTAGTGGTGGTGGTAGTGGTGGTGGTGGTGGTAACACCAGACATATGAGTTGTTTCTCACGCAAGAAAATTATAAGAAATTGTGAGTAAGAGAGTTTTGGAGCAGAGGCCGTAAAGCGAGGATGGAGGCGGGGCCCAGGAGCTATGCCTCCCCTCTGAAGCGTCAATATTAGGCATCACATGTAAGTGTCTAGCAGCGGATACATCATTGTCTTGTGGACTATTTGGTATTGAGTACAATTAGCTTAGCTTGCTTGATCTTACGCAACCTGTCATGGCTGAGAGGACAGAACACTGGACGCGTGATCCTGTGGTCCCGGGTTCGATTCCGGGCCCCGGCGAGAAACAATGGGCAGAGTTTGTTTCACTCTGATGTCCCTGTTACCTAGCAGTAAATAGGTACATGGGAATTAGTCAGCTGTCACGGGCTGCTTCCTGGGGGTGGAGGCCTGGTCGAGGACCGGGCCGCGGGGACACTAAGCCCCGAAATTATCTCAAGAAGGTCCTTCAACTCGACCTCATTTCCCTCGTGGCATTAGTGAACTGGTCTCCCAGCTTGAATTCACCTAATCTGGTTTTTTCCCAGCTTGAGTCAGTCTCACCAGCTGTCACAGCTCGATTTCACCTCACACCACACAACCGTGCACGGGTCACTCACACATATCCCAGGATGTTTATACCCAGTGGAGCACTCACTGATATTCCAGCAGCTGTCTAACTCCCAGGTACCTATTTACTGCTAGGTCAACAGGAGCATCAGGGTGAAAGAAACTTTGCCCATTTGTTTCCGCCTCCGTCGGGGATCGAACCCGGAAACTTAGGACTATGAATCCCAAGCGATGTCCACTGAACCGTCGTGCCCCCAGGGATAAGAGTCACATTGTATACATGACCGTTGGCCAAGGTATTATAAAGCAAGCTAACCTAACCCAAAGTCACCTAACCTAACCTAACCTAACCAAACCCAAAGTCACCTAACATGAACTGATCCACAGCCTAACACAGCTTGCTCTAGGCTAGTTCTTCTTAAGCTAATGATGTATACGGTTTTAACAATCAGAAAACGTCAAAAATCTTTCTTGTGGTCTGATCTTACCACAATCAGACTACAGGGAACATCTGGACAAACGGCAGGAGTGGTCTGGCAATTGGCTACACGAATTCAACCCCAGTAATTGTAATATGATACGAAAAATGGAAATGTGCAGTGTGTTAACTGAGAAGAAGAGCTTCCAGAGGTCCATCATGTAGGCAAGGACTTGTCAGGGGCGTAGGCGATACTGGCACACATGAGGATGACCCTGGGGCCCTGACGGCTGAGTGGACAGCGCTCGGTATTCGTAATCCTAAGGTTCCGGGTTCGATCCCCGTCGGAGGCGGAAACAAATGGGCAGAGTTTCTTTCACCATGATGCTACTGTTGACCTAGCAGTAAATAGGTACCTGGGAGTTAGAGAGCTGCTACGGGCTGCTTCCTGGGGTTGTTTAACAAAAAGGAGGCCTGGTCGAGGACCGGGCCGCGGGGAAGCTCAGCCCCGAAATCATCTCAAGATAACCTCAAGATAACCCTCGGGAATCTTAACGAGTTATCATTTGGGATAATATACGCTAAGTATGTGAGCATATATCAAATATTCACATATGAGACACATCGGTAACAATATGTGTTATCCACCCGTTCACACATACATACACACACACACATATGTACTCATACGCACGTACACTACACATTCGCACATTTACATACACAGTTACGTACACGTGGTAAGGATTGCGTACCGAAAGAACTAACTGTGAGGTAACTGTACTGGCGGAGTGTATCAGGAAATACTGGTTTTTTGACTGGAGGTGTGTGTCTTATTTATGCTGATGGCGTGACACAGTTAGACTGGCGGAAGGTGAAGTGTGTCAGTTAGTGAGACGCAGAGAGACAGAGAGAGAGAGTGGCAGACAGACAGAGAGAGAGAGAGAGAGAGAGAGAGAGAGAGAGAGAGAGAGAGAGAGGCAGAGAGAGAGAGAGAGAGAGAGAGAGAGAGAGAGAGGAGAGAGAGAGACGAAATAGAGAGATGAGAGAGAGAGAGAGAGAGAGACATAGAGAGAGAGAGGATGAAAGAGACGAAATAGAGGATGAAAGAGAGGAGAGACATAGAGGACGGAACAGAAGAGATAAAACGAGAGAGAGAAAGGAGAGTGAGAAAGTAGAGAAAGAGAGAGAGAAGGGGGAGAGAGGGGGAGTGAGAAAGAAGAGAGAGAGAAATGGGAGAGAGCTCCCCTGGTCCCACACACAAGGTCAGGGCAGCGATGCGGGTCCCCTTGACATTGACACTGTACACTACCACCTCTTACCCCCCCCCTTCTTCAGCCTCCCTCCCCCCCCCCCCCCCCTCACACACCTGCTGTATACACCTGTCTGCTTCCTGTGCACTCCAGGACCGTCTGGTTTCCATGTATGTCAAGTTATGAGCACATGGAGAGTAATAATACTGAGCTACAGTTTCTAGAAATCATTTATTTATGTATTTATATATATACAAGAGTTCTTACAGTCTTGTACACCTGTATGATCTGATAAGTGGCTACTGGACTTAAACCCAGATAAATGCAATATTGTGACGATAGGAATTGGAGAAAACCTCAACTACAGTACAGAATGAACTCGAGCAACTTTCTTCTTCAGGGAAATAAACACCTTTTGGGAGCAGACAAGTCTAAATCAAACACGAGGAACATCAGCAGCATATGCCAAGCTTAGCAATGTCCGGATAGCCTTAAAGAGCGCTAAATCCAATCTATACGAGACCCCAGGCTTGAGTACGCTGCCTCGGCATGGTACCCACGACTATAGGAAAGTAGAAAACCCTGAACACAGTTTCAAGTGTAGATATGATAGAGCCCAATAGGCTCAGGAATCTGTACACCTGTTGATTGACGGTTGAGAGGCGGGACCAAAGAGCCAGAGCTCAACCCCCGCAAACACAACTAGGTGAGTACACAGACAGACACACACACACACACACACACACACACACACACACACACACACACACACACACTACACACTACACACAATACACACACACACACACACACACACACAATACACACACAACACACACACACACACACACACACACACACACACACACACACACACACACACACACACACACACACACACACACACACACACACACACAGGACCTCGGGACCAAAAAGCCAAAGCTCAACCCCCGCAAACACAAATAGGTGAGTACACACACACACACACACACACACACACACACACACACACACACACACACACACACACACACACACACACACACACACACACACACACACACACACACACACACACACACACACACACACACACACACACACACACACACACACACACACACACACACACACACACACACACACACACACACCACACACACACACACACACACACACACACACACACACACACTACACACACACACACACACACACACACACACACACACACACTAACACTATTTACACACACACGCACACACAGGTGGAAACTGAGTGCCCAAATGAGCCACAGAGATATTAGAAAGAACTTTTTTAGTGTCAGAGTGGTTGACATGGAATGCACAAGTGATGTGGTGGAGGCTGACTCCATACACAGTTTCAAGTGTAGATATGACAGAGCCCGATAGGCTCAGAATCTGTACACCTGTTGATTGACGGTTGAGAGGCGGGACCAAAGACAGAGCTCAACCCCCGCAAACACAACTAGGTGAGTACAACTAGTGAGTACACACACTACACACACACACACACACACACTACACACACACACACACACACACACACACACACACACACACACACACACACACACACACACACACACACACACA